TTATTCGATAATTGAATCTATTCGATTTTGACCCGTTTTATTCGATGATTGAATCTATTCGATTTTCAACCGTGTTATTCGATAATTGAATCTATTCGATTTTGACCCGTGTTATTCGATAATTGGATCTATTCGATTTTGACCCGTGTTAACGGCTCGGTTGCACGTGAGAAGACACATGAATATGGATACAACTCATACGAAGAATTTTATTCTCAAGAAAATGACACGTGGTCTGAAATGGGATAACATCACCCCAAGTCGAAGAGGTCTATTCTATTGTGAAACTTGTGATTCAGCTGATAAACATTTTGTTTGAATGAGTCTGTGATCAAGAAACACAGCGGTATTTTTAAAAGTAATTCGAAAATGATTTATTGGCGATATCCGTTTAACCAATCATAGTGCAGGAAATTACTTTCATCCAATCAGAATACAAGGACACGGAAAGTCATTGTTCGAACCACGTAGTCAAATCAAGTCTGTTCTAATGAATTTTTCTTTCTCAGATCGCTGTGTTGGAAAGATTCCCTACTAATGTTAAACTAGACAGTGATCTCGTGAAAGAACTACAAAATGCTAGGTAAGTATTTATCAGCCAATTAGAACTGCTATCACAGACTGCCCTATCAATTTTGCCCCATATTTCTCAAGTAAGCGTTTTCTCAAGGTTGTGTGCGCATCCAAATTTAATGAGTTTGACGGGACACGATACTAGAACACGATACCAGAACACGATACCAGAACACGAGTATTATTCTACATTGTTTTAAACTTTTTTTGATAAGAATTTATAGAATCGATTATTCTCCTCTTTAAATATAAAACTAGCTTCTCAATTTTACTGAATTTGCGTTTTTCAGTTTAGTGGCCCGTGAAGTTGGATGCGCACGCAACCTTGAGAAAAGGGTCTATTACAAATTTTTCACTAACATTTGATCGTGCGTTCGAAGCCTTAAATTTACATTTCAGTTAACTTGCAGTGGTTGCTATCGGTATCTTATTTTTATTAGGTTGCGTATAGCAAGCCTTGAATCAGAAAGAGAATCCATTATGAATGACATGAAGCAACTACGGCGCATGAGCCAAGCAGGAGAGTTACCCAGTGATATGGTAGGTCATGTGATATGGTTGTTCACGTCATACGGTAGGTCACGTGATACGATCCGTCGCGTGATACAGTTGGTAACGTGATATGGCAGGTCACTTGATATGGTAGGTCACGTGATATGACAGGTTGCGTGACAGTAGGTCACGTGATATGGTAGGTCACGTGCTCTCTGGGATAGTTATGATTCATGATGGAATGAACTTGTAGGATAAGTTATGTAATTACTGGCTATGGTAAGTCACGTGATTAGGAGGGTATTACGTAATGTTAATGTCACGTGACTTGCGACGATGATGCGCGAAAGTTGCATAATTATAGTTAAAATCTCTAATATTTTTTAATCAAAAAAATTATGGCGACAAGATTTTTTCTACTCGACGTTTTGATGGCTACATTTTTAAGACTGACAAACCAATGAATTATAGTTTATTCTAATTTACTCGAAAGGTCGAGTTAAAGAAATCTTGTCATTAACTTTGTGATTAAATCGTTGAAAACGAAATGCTCAGTTCTAATATTTTTGAAACAGGATCAAGACGAAATCTTGGATAAAGTAAAACAATACGATAAGATACTTGCAGATGACGTAGAACTCAAGTAAGTGTGCAGAATAAAAGATGACCTGTATTCAGTCCTTCAGCTCTATCAACATGTTTTTGGACTTTTCAGACGCATTAAAGTTTTAGGTTCCAATCCGAATATTTATTCAGAGAGACCGAGTGATGGACTGAGTGAAGAGAAATCACGAGGATGATTCTTGACCTTAGAAAGTGTGTGACTAGAGCTGTTTCTAACCCTAAAAATACAATACAATACATGTACAATGCAATAACTTAATTTAACGTGGTCAAAAATACGCTTAGCTCAATATGAAAGATATTTTGCTAATTTGCAGGTACTGTACAGAAATATTACCGGATTGCGTTAATTTTTTTTTCGTTGATATCGTAGCACAAAATTAAAAACCGTGGAACTAGAAAGAGACAGGTTATCACGCGAAGTCAAGAAGGTTTGTTGATACAATTATCATTAATATTCTGAATTAGTACCCAGGAAAAGTCTCGGGTAGATAAATGGGTTTAGGTGCATGGTGAGAAAACGAAATAGAAAAATTTGGGAGCCAAAATACCTTTTTTAGAGTTCGTCCAATGTGCATTCTAGTATATTTTGGTACTAAAAACACAAGATTTTTATATCTAATGTAGACCTGAATGCACTTTGCTTGTCGAACTTGAAAAAGGTCTTTTTACAATAACTTAGAAATTTCTCGCGCCATGATTGGCTATTTTTTATCATCAATAAGAGGACAGACAGATAAAGCTGACGTCAACGAGCGCGCGCTCTTTCCGTTGGTTGTTTTGATCGCTAAAAATGAGAAGTTTTGATCGTTTTTGTTATTGTAAAAAACAAATTGACATCAGATTTTTATGTGTCTGTCCTCTTATTGACAATAAATTGCGTCATCACATTGTCAAAATAGTATGCGGATCCACTCGGCTACGCCTCGTGAATCCACACTACTTTGACAATGTGATGACGCAATTTATTGTCAATAAGAGGACAGACACATAAAAATCTGATGTCAATTTGTTAAATCCTCGGGAAAGAAAACTAGAGAACACAGAAACCCCTCGAAGCACAGGAGAGAACCAACAAACAACATGGTGGCACGGGTGGCGTAGTGGTTTACTGCTCGCCTCTCACCACTGTGGTCCGGGTTTGAACCCTGGCCCAGACCGGATCATATGTGAGTTGAGCTTAGTTGATGTGTTGTTCTCTCCCTTGCCAGGAGGGTTTTCACCGGGTTCTCCGGTTTTCTCCCTCCGTAAAAATCAACATGTGAGTTGAGTGTTGTATGTTGTAAATATAGAATGTAGTGGTAGTGCGTGTGGAGGGAACCTCACGGAAGTTCCCCGCGTGGGGAGTGGTAGTTGTTAAATATAAGTCCAACTCAAGTTTAACTCTTCCCATATATCATTGTAAGCTCGGGTGTGGCTCTGGTGTGAAACCATGACAACAACAGCGAGAGGCGGCGTATTAGTATCGCACACTACCCGTGTTTACACCAGACCATGATTCTCCTTTTTCTTCCTGACGTTCTTAATGTTAGCGTCCATTTATTATAGCTGCAAAAAGAACTTGAGGCGTTTGACCCGGCATTCTTTGAAGAGATCGAGGATCTTAAATACAACTACAAAAGAGCAGTGGAGAGAAACGTGCTGTA